AGAAAAGAAACAGAAACTCAAAGGCATAGAAAGAAAATCTAACTAAACTAAAACATAGTGATTTAAAATAAATTTTAAAAAGACTGAATAAACATGTATAAAGCTTATTGCAGGATAATATGAAACATCTAAGATATGTCACACACGTAATGGGAGCCCCAGAAAAAAAAAAAGCTTATTTCAGGATAACATGAAACATCTAAGATATTTCACACACATAATGGGAGCCCCAGGGAAAAAAAAAAAAAGGAAGGGTTCAGACAATTTTGGGAAAAATAAAAATAGAAAAATTTCCAAATTTAATAAAAACTACAGACCCATATATCCAAGAATTTCAATAAATTCCAAGCAGTGTAAACACTCTCACACACACACACACACACACACACACACACACACACACACATACACACACACACACACCAATAAACTGAAGCACATCACAAGTAAGCTACTTAAAAACAGTGAGAAAGGGAAAATAGGGCAAAACATGGAACCATGTGTTACAGTAGACACTGGAGAATAAAAAACCTATCATATGCCCTAAAAAGATCGTTTAGCTTTCAGTTTATGTATACATGTGATTTGCATGTGATACATCCAAATTTCCTCTGGGTTTGAGAGAGTTATGACAGGCAGGACAAAAGTTGTGATGTAGGTACAGACATTTTTAGGATTCCTTCACGATTGAGCTGCATCTGAAAGCAAGATTTTTAAGAAGCCAGGAGCATAGCTCAAATTGAGAACCCTGAAAATCATGTAAGGCAAAGTCCATATGAATGACAAGAAACAGCAAATAAGGAGTTTGGTAAAGGTAAGGGAAGTTTCGGGGTCAAAACTGGCAAGTAAGACTCTGCTTTGGTGGCAGGATCTGGAATATCCCAGAATAAGGGAATCCTTCAGAGGTAGTCCACATTGAGAACGTGAATGGAGAAGAATATGAGCACTGGGTAGGACCAGGGCATCTGCAATCTGCAAATAGAACGTTCCCCACCTGGAAACTGATGGTTTTGTGGGACATTCTAAAATGGCTCATCATTTCAAATTTTCAGACCTCAAGTCCTGAAGATTCTGTTTCAGAAGGTCGCTTATTTCCCCCCTTCCTTGCTTGCTTTATCATTTCCACTTTCTTATCATCAAAAGCCTTATAATTAGCCAGTCTGATTGCAGTGTCTTTCTTTGTCCTCCAACCTATGCCAAACAGAACTATCAAAGAAACCATTCCTAAATGTTGTGTGCATTAGGTCTTCCAAGTAGCCTCAAAAACCTTCAATGCTTCACTGTTTCATTTTCTATCAAGTGTAAATAGGGCTAGTTGCCAAGATTTCCAACATATGTCCCTATTAGACCTACTCACTTGTATTTCCTCAATACTCAGCCTCTCATCTATTCATGTCCATTTCTCTTCCCTTCATTGTGTCTGCTTGTCTCCCTTTACTCATGTTCTCTGTGTTCTTTTTCCCTCCACCTATCCATCCTTTGAGTAGCACCAACTACTCTTGAAGCTTTCCTCATAATGTTTGCTGCTTAAGAATTACTATGGGAGTTAATATCTCATTTATGTGGTTTAGTAGCTAATTTTCAGTACCATTGTACAATGTTCTCATAAGTTATTTTACATGAGTCTTTAATTCTTATTCCTATACTAAGTTTCTTGAGGGCTATAATTAATCTTTCTTCTACAGTCTCCAAGGCCTAAAACAGTTTAGAGCACATAAAAGACAAATAAATAATTGATTGATTGACACATTGAGACCACAATTTAAATAAACTGATTAATGTAAATATATATTTTTCAGCTATTTTTCCAAAAATTAATCACTTAATTACAATGAGTTTTGATGCACAGAGCTAAGAAATATGTAATCTTAATAAGATAGGAAACATCCTTGATATTTCTTTCGTATGTAAAATGTTTTTGTAGCCAGTTCCTAACTGCAGTGATTCAGAGGCCAGACTCCAAAGTTGGATTGCTTAGTTCATAAACATGAATTACAGTGTTGATACTAAACTAAGTTTCCATGTTCTTTCGTCACTAGATGAGGGAACCAAAGATTAGAATGATATTTTGGAAACACGATGAGCAATGATTTCACTTGAACCTACAGAAAACTCCTTGTCCTGCAACTTAACAGACAAATGCTTATAAGCAGTTACCAGCAGAGTTGAATTTAGAGAGGTTTAAATGAAACTAGGACAGGGTCTAGAGTGGAAACTTTTCATTCTCTCACTGAAAGTGAATAGAGTATTTAGATACTACTCATATTCAGAAAATATCAAATTGAAAACTTTACTTGTTATATCCCCAATCTTTTCAATAACAAAATTCTTTTAGCTACTTCTCTGTATTTATTCATAGTAATTTAAGGTCATGGAACTCAAATAATACACTAATCTTGAGGAAGCCTACTACAAGTAGATTTTAAGAACTAGTACTTTATTACTATAGTCTATCTAGTGTTTGTTTTATGTATTAAAATAACATGCTTGTAAAATAAACTACTGGACCTACACCAAAATAAAAATCTTTTTCACAGCAAAGGAAACCATCAACAAAATGAAAAGGCAACCTACTGACTGGAAAAAGGTATTTTCAAATGATATATCCAACAAGGGATTAGCATCCAAAATATATACAGAACTAATACAACTCAATACAGGAAAAAACCCCAAAAATAATCCAGTTAAAAAATGGGCAGAAGACATGAATAGACATTTTTTTCCAAAGAAGACACACAGATGGCAAACAGACACATGAAACGATGCTTGACATTACTAATCATCAGGGAAATACAAATCAAAACCACAATGAGATATCACCTTACACCTATCAAATGGCTAGAATTAAAAAGACCAGAAACAACAAGTATTGGTGAGGACGTGGAGAAAAAGGAACCCTCATGCACTGTTAGTGGGATATAAATTGGTAAACAGGATGGAGTTTCCTCAAAAAATTAAAATAGAAATACCATGATCAGGTACCCCCCAAACCCAAAAACACTAATTCAAAAAAATAGATGCACTTCTATGTTTATGGTAGCATTATTTAGAATAGCCCAGATATAGAAAATAAAGAAGAGGTGACATATATACATATATATACGTGTATACATATATACATACATATATACACACGCACTCGTACACACACACACAATGGAATACTACTCAGCCATAAAAAACAATGAGAGCTTCCAATCTGCAACAACATGGATGGACCTAGAGGGTATTATAATAAGTGGAATAAATCAGATAGGGAAAGACAAATACCCTATAATTTCACTTTTATGTGGAATCTAAAAAACAAAATGAATGCATAAACAAAAAGCAGAAACATCCATAAAGACAGAAAGCAAACTGATGGTTGCTGGGGCTGAGGTATGGGCAACACTGATGAAGAGGAGTGGGATACACAGGATTCCAGTTATGGAATGAATAAATCACAGGAATAAAAGGTACAGTGTGGGGAATATAGTCAGTGATATTGTAATAGGTTGTATGGTGACAGATAATAGCTACGCTTGTGGTGAACACAGTGTAACGTACAGAGTTGTGGAATCACTATGTTGTACACTTGAAACTAATGTAACATTGCATGTCTAGTATATTTCAATTACCATGCTTGTTTGGAAGCAGCTGCAATAGCTCCCTGCAGTTTCTAGTACTGTGATTCTTATATCCATGTTATACAAACATAACACACAATTTTGTGCCTGCAACACAGAGGAGATAACCAAAAAATATCATCTTCTGTCTTTCCCGCATTCAATATCATGCCAGAATTAAAGGATGGGCAGAAGGTATCAAAGATGTGATACGATTTATAGTGAAGAAAAAAATATAGAACCTATAGTTCCCATCTTGTGGGGTATTACTATTGTGGGCCATGAATTAAAGAATTAGTTGCAACCTTCTAAACTCCAAAGAGGGTAAAAATACTAAAAGGGCCAATAGCTGGGTCCATTTTGACTATTTCTCCTTCAAAGTATATTAGGAATAGACCCATAAGATAATAGTCAAAGAGACTGTTAGTTTCCATTCCTTTCAATGGGCATAATTTAATGTTGCAATTTAAAAGTGAGAAAGTTACCATAGTCTAGTAGATACTAGGACCCAAAAGATATCAGAACAGATAATGCACATGTAGATCCTGGACCAGAGGCAAACTTTGTATAAGTTATATATATTGTGAAACTAATAAACTCATTGATGACAAGGTATTAGGAATTTTCTGGCTTTCTATAGATGCTATTTTATGACATAATCTGTCACACAGAGAAATACTACTCAAGTACTGTAGTCAGAGGAACCCAGTCACTATATCAACAAACAGGAAAAAAAGAAGATCCTTTTTGAAGACAATCAAAAGAATATACTTTCATCAAAACATGAAGAAAACAAAGGAGTGGTTTTGAGGGCACTTGTTACATTCTTTCACTAAGCAGCCATGGATGTGGCTAGATGAGACTTAGAAAAAAAATTGTTTTTAACTTTTTATTTATTTTTGAGAGAGACAGAGACAGAGTGTGAGCAGGGGAGGGGCAGAGAGAGAGAGAGAGGGAGTCACAGAATCTGAAGCAGGCTCCAGGCTCCAAGCTGTCAGCACAGAGCAGGATGAGGAGCTCGAACCCACGGACCGTGAGATCATGACCTGAGCCGAAGTTGGATGCTTAGGTCAGAGCCACCCAGGTGCCCCTAGATGAGACTTTTAGGATCAGAGTTGGGTTGAAGTTAAATGGATTCTATGACAATTTTTTCCCTTCTCTTGAGATGTCTTCAATGCACAGTTCACCTGAACTAATTGCATGAAATTTTAGAAGGAAAGAAAAGAAAGAAAGAACTGTTAGTGTGCAGGAGATAGCTGACAATCCAGGCCCAAACCTCCAGAGAACCAATTATTGGTTGTGAGACTAACATTTTATGGGAAACATTTCCAACAAAAAATGTAAATGTAGACGTCAAAGGTGACCATTTCTGTCATTACTGTTCAAATTCAGTACCTTGCCTGACCCAATCTCCATGATGAAGATTATGCTCTAATATATAGCAACATTTGTGATATCCAGAGAGCAGCTCTGCCCAGTTAATAGTCACAGTGGCTTCTTCGTTTTCATGTGCATTAGCAGGATGCTCAAACAGGGAAATCAAGGCCGTCGTGAAAACAATTGCTTGAACCTTGAGAGAGAGATTGAAAGGAAAACAAAAATGGGCAGGATCATTGTTGGAAAAAAAAATCTATGTTCTTTAAGATTAATAAGGAATAGGCATTGAATTAATGGGAATTTCCTCAATATTATTTAAAGGATACAGGCAGTCATACTAAAAGACAAAACAACTATAATGTTGGTAAAACAATTACCAAGGGCAGTTCATTATTTGCTTTTATGATACACTTGTGATTAAAATCACAAAGAGTGAAAAGCTTTCACAATTAGGAAAGGAAATTGTTCAAATTAGACCACTTCAGAGTTCATGGGCATTCAACAAATAATAATTTTTTAGCGGATAGGTGGAATGTGATAGAGGAGTCATTGCATCCAATGTCCGGGTTTTTGTGCTGCCCTCTCTAATGCATCTATCCCTTTGTTAAGTGATGCAGGAAACAAGCACTGCCCAGGGAGCTGGTACAGAGGAGGCTTTTAAATGAAAATCAGGATAATTAATTTGAAAGAGTTATAAGAGATAATTTTGGGCATTTAAAATTTGATGTTTATTAAAACTGGGACCTAAGAGATCAAGCATCGTTTGGTGAAAAAAAATTACAATTTCTTTCTAAATAAGGAAAATGAGACTATACATAGACAAGAAAACCACATGAAGACTGTTTTTCATAAGCAAGAAAGGGAACTGTGGCCTAATCCTTCTTTTCCACGCCCAGCAGGTGTGGCTTTATAATTTGTAGTGTAGCTCAATTAGGAGGTCACACTCGTATTCTATTTCTATGTTGAGCTACAGTTTGCTGATTAAATCCATAGTGTTCAACTTTTCCTTCCCTCGCTTACCTTTCCAGTTATGTCCCCAAAAGAAAGAATCGATTCATTGGCATCAAGGAGGTCATACCAATATTCCATACAAATCGGTGTTCCCTTCAGGCCTTGGAGTTTATATTGACAAGGAAATTCTCCTTTGGACAGCAGATCATAGAAACAAATCTCTTTACTCGTAAAAGCCACTGCTATCTGAAGTAACAAATAGAAAATATTTGTTCAAGAAATACAGAAATACAGAAAGTATTTTTTCTGATGAATTTAGTGAAATCAGTATACAAAGGAGACATGCGACTCTTAGCCCCAAATCAGACACTGTTCCCTTCAGGTCACTAACAGTATTATAGAGGCACAGCATGGCGGCACAAGTGGACTTTATTCTAACTTTGGACTCTAGCCAAGAAAAAGTTCTTCCCGTTAAAGGCATTTGAACATATTTTCCTCTGTATTTCCACTTCACACACCTGCCAACCTCATCCATCCATGGGAGACGAGATGATTAATCACAAAGAAAAGACAAAAACAGAGGTCTAGAGAATCACACAGTCATACCAGAAGCTTTACAAATCATGCTTTATAAAGCAAGCAGAGTCTTTCACACAAATCAGTTGATAAAAACTCTGTAAGTAGCCTTCACAAGTTAGATAAAATCCCAAAACTATTTTTTAAAGTGTCAATACATTTGTCGATAAAATTGGCCAAACTTCAGCTAAACTAACCCAAGATAAAAAAGAGTGAAAATACACATTACTGAAGTCAGAAATAAAAGTGTATTCTGCTATCGACCTGATAAAAATAAAAGATTATAAGAGAATATCATAAACAATGGCATGCCAACAAAGTAGACGACCTAGATGAAATTCCAAATTTCTGAAAACAAAAATAGTACCTAAACTAACTCAAGACCAAATAGAAAAATCTCAGCAAACATATCAGTAAAACAACAAAATTGAATTGTAATCAAAAACATTGTCACAAAGAAAATCCCAGGCCCAGATGGCTTCACTAATAAATGCGACCAAACATTTAAAGAATTAACAACAATGTTTCTCAAACTCTTCAAAAAACAAAAAATAAATAAATAAATAAAGTGGAGGCAACTTTTCCAAAATCATTTTATGAAGCCAATACCATCTTAACACCAAACTACACAAAAACATACAAGAAAACTACATATCAAGAACCCTAATGAATATAGATGCAAAAATTGTCAACTAAACAATAGCAAAGAGAATCCAACAACATATAAAAACCATTACATACCATGACCAACTGATATTTATACCAGAAAGCAAGCCTACTTTAACATACAAATATCAATCAACGTAACACACTCTATTAATAAAATAAAGGACAAAATCTATATGATTCTCTCAATATATCCAAAAAAAGCATTTGACCAATTCTAACACACTTTCATGATAAAAATGCTCAACAAACCAGTACTAGAAGAAAACGTCTTCAACTTGATACAAAGAACCCACAACTGATATCATACTTAATGGGGGAAAACTGAATGTATTCTCCCTAAGATCAGGAACATGATGAGGATGTTCACTCTCACCACTACTATTCAATACCACACTGCAATTCCCAGAAAGGGAAATTAGGCAAGAAAAAGAAATAAAAGCATCCACTTTGGAAAGGAAGAAGTTAGACTATCTTTGTTAGTAGATGACATAATCGTAAACACAGAAAATCCTAAAGAATAACAGCAACAAAAAATGATCAAAACCAGTAAATGAGTTCAGTGTAGTTGCAGGATATAAGATCATTTTTAAAAATCTATTTTTTTCTATACCCTAGTAATGAACAATCTGAAAATGATACTACCAAAAGCAGTGTTAGGAAAATACAAAGACAAAACATGTGCTGTAAGACAGTATTTGTAAATCATTCATCTGATAAATGTATATATCCAGAATATATAAAGAACTCTCAAAACTCAGTGAAATAAAACCAACAATAAAATGGGCAAAAGATTTGAACAGACATTTTACCAAGGAGGATATACAGGTAGCAAATCAGTATATGAAAATAAGCTCGATATTATTAGTCATTAGGAAAATGTGAATTAAAACCACAATAAGACCAAATACAAACCTATTAAAATGGCCAAAATTAAGTGGGTAAGAAAACCCTGATCATACCAAATGTTGGTAAGGATATGTTATATCCACATAGTGGAATATTATACAACAATAAAAAGATAAACTGATATATCCAATGACATGCCAAGTTAAAGAAGTCAGACCAAAACAAGTATACACTATATGATGTAAATTATATACAAATCTAGAAAATGCTAACTATTGTATGGTGACAGCATATCAGTGGCTACCTGACAAGGGGAGATGGGAGAGGTTGGACAGATTACAAAAGGGCACAAGGACATTTTTGAGCGTGATGATTATGTTCATTATCTTCATTGTACTGTTGATTTTTCGCAGTAGACAAATGTATTAAAATCTGTCAACTTGGGTATTTTTAGTATGTGCGGTGCATTTTGTATAATTACATCTCAATAAAGCTCTTTGAGGAAAGAAGAAAAAAGCAACCCTCTTTAAACTTCTATGTTGCAAAAGTGCAAAGGAAAGGCTAAGATTTAGTTATCAGTCCTGGAAAGAAGAAACAATGCAACATAATCATTACACAACATAACAACATAAACATTGCATGATAATAACAGAATGCTGCACACAGATATACAAGAAAATCTGGGCTTGAACCATCTTGTAACCCATATAGTTAACATTAACACCAGATCCTTAGCAAGAAAGGACTGGATGTGATGACGTCCAGCTACCACTCTAGAGGAAGCAAAGACTCTGAAACACAGGTTCTGAAATCAAGCTGCCTCTGTATACAAATCCTACAACATGCATTCTGTGTGACCTGGGGCAAATTCCACAACCTCTCCTTGCCTAGTCTCTCATTCTTAAAGTAGGAGCAATGTCCACTTCATGGTGATCTCAAGAAGATTAATAGAGCAGGGTGCATCACGTTGGAAGTTAATGATGATGATGATTCTTTACGTTCAAGGCAGTAGAGCCTACCATTTCCCAGTTACAAAAACCCTGGGTTTTTGGAAACATGGAGGATTCTGGCTCTGGCATAATAAATATGCAAGATGATCCTGGAACAGCTTGTCACACCAGAAAACAAAGAAGCTTTCAAAGACTAACACAGTTATAGCAGAAAAGACTCAGAAGCTGACTTGTATTCATTCCAGTGTATAAAGATGGTACAATTTTAAGGATGAGTTAGCAACTCGGTGGACTGAAGCAAATAAAATTGCTTAAAGTCATGAGTTTGTGATGATATTGATAACAATAATGATAGTTTTGCTCATTTTTCGTCTTTAGAGGATTTTGAATACTGGCAAATAGAAGTAAAGAATTAGCCATTCATCCTGCCTTTGTTCTATGATTTGTACTACACTATAACTAAATACTTGACAGGTGGAATTTCTTTTTATAGAGGTATTCCAGCTTATAAAGAAAGTAGAGGGGCGCCTGGGTGGCGCAGTCGGTTAAGCGTCCGACTTCAGCCAGGTCACGATCTCACGGTCCGTGAGTTCGAGCCCCGTGTCAGGCTCTGGGCTGATGGCTCAGAGCCTGGAGCCTGTTTCCGATTCTGTGTCTCCCTCTCTCTCTGCCCCTCCCCCGTTCATGCTCTGTCTCTCTCTGTCCCAAAAATAAAATAAACGTTGAAGAAAGTAGAAATGATGGAATTAGAATGTCATCCTCTTGCAACCCCTAATAAATTGATAGATCAAGGAATAATCAGCAATAACTGTCAACATCCCAAGAAGAGAGAGAACAGGCATTTTGTGCCTCCTGATTGAGGAACACCTATTCCAGAACAAACCATCTTGAAACCGATCAAGGCTTTAGATTTGACTACCAATTTACTGGAAATATGGGGAACAAGGAGACATGTAAAACAACCCCCTCTAAACACAGTCTGCAAAATCCAGACTGAGACACTTTAAAGAACAAACACCAGTTTCTCTTACAAAAACAGAATAGCAATAACAAAACAATGCAATAATAAAAAAGGGGTGGAGAAAAACACATAGATCAAAAGAGACATATCAACAATTCACAATGGTTTGGAACTTATTCAGATTGTGATTCAAATAAACTATCAAATGAGGAATTAACAAGCTATTAAAAAACTACAAGAAAAGAAAATGTGTATTTGACTGGATATTTGAGAATAAGGAATTATTGTAATTGTTATTAAATGTGATCATGGTATCATGGTTATGCTAAAAAAAAGGAGATTTTTTTATGAAATATTTACAGATTAGACAATTGCATGTTTTGGATTTCAAAGAGGGGAGATATAGATCTAACTGGACTGGCTGTGAATTGGAAATGGCCAAGGGTAGATATTGGTTCTTAATACTGTTATCTCTGGGAATGCAAGCTGGTGCAGCCACTCTGGTAAACAGTATGGAGGTTCCTCAAAAAACTAAAAATAGAACTACCTACGACCCAGCAATTGCACTACTAGGCATTTATCCAAGGGATACAGGTACACTGTTTCAAAGGGACACATGCACCCCCATGTTTATAGCAGCACTATCAACAATAGCCAAACTATGGAAAAGAGCC